GTTCTCCCAACAAGAGGGTATGCATCCCAGCTTGTTGGGAGGAATCCTCCCGGCGAGCTGGTACACAATCCAGCTCGCCGGGAGGGATTCCTCCCGACAAACTGGCCTCTAACTTTTTCTTTTTCTTTCATTTTTTTTTGGAAAAAAAAAAACATCTGTCCCCCTTAAAATGGGGCGGATATCCGCGGGTATCCGCGCGGATACCCGCCAGCGCCAGCGGGTATCCGCCAGCGTATGCGGATGCAGATGCGGATGTCCGATTCCGCTGAAATGGCGAGAGGATATCCGAATCCGAACGGATATCCGGATGCGGCGCGCCCATCTCTACAAAAGACTGCTCAAGTCCTCCTTTTCAGCTATTTTCCTACTTTAACTTATTTAGCTTGAGATTTTATTACATTCTGACTTCAGAAATGAACTCCTCATTCAATTTCAACCATCGTCACCACTGACCAGTTTTACACTACTCTTCTCCTTCATTGACTTTGTAACATTTCACCATACCTTGTGAAATACCAACCAAATTGGAATTCCATCTCTCCCAACCACATGTACATGTAATGACTATGTCATCCAACTTTGAAAATCCTCTCTGAGCTTGTTGATTCCGCTTCCAGAGGATTTTCAGACTCCAGACCAACACAGAACCACAACAACCAGAACCAGATCAAGCCATCACTTATCAACCAGAAGTACTCCACTTTTCCCACCTTTCCCACTACACAGTGTCATTGGTGTCATTAGTAAGTAACTTCTTATAAGTTTTAGCTAGCATCTTTCTGCTTGTTCTCTTTCTCAGTTTCTCTCAACCTCTCTTCATTCCTCATCAAACCAAAGCCCTGATCAAAGAAAGCAAGCTCTAGCTTCTATTATCTCAACTCTTCCTGTTTGGTAGTACAACTGAAAACTACATAGGTTTCCCTTTAAAGAGCCTTGATCTTTGATCTAAAAAATTGTGGTTGACCTGATTCATCAGTGTCAATAACCCATTTCAGTTTCTGTTGATTTGGAGGCGTCAGAGTTAGCTCCGCTTATAACAGCCATCCTACAAGGAAAGTAAGACTGTCAGCAGCCATCCAAAAAGGGACAGTAAGACTGCCAGAACTTTAATCATCATCTTAAAATAAATAAAGAACAAAATATCATTTAATTCTTTCACGCTTCTTCCCTTTCTTCTACTTTTATTTGTATCCCTCTTCTATTAAGAAATACATATAAAAGTGCCCCCCATATCTTGTGTCCTGCTGTCACTATAGAGACCCAGGCTCACAGTTAGAGGTTTTTTGGCCCTGCAGCGCAGCAAAAATCCGCTAAAAAACGTTAACACTACATATTTTTGGCGCAAAAAAGCGCCGCTACGCTACACATGTTGGGCCAAAAGCGTAGCGTAGTGGCCCACCACTGATTTTTCTCAATTTGATGTAGTTTGATTGTACTTGATAGGGAAAAGTACTTTGCTCATAACACGGGTTTCCAGAGAGCTATTCAGGTTTCTCTGGCTCTCCTGTTATGGGAAATATCATTCAAATTAGATTTTCATCAAGTTCAAAAATCTCTTACTGGCAGTAAAGCTTTGAATTACTTGGGAAAATGCTAAACAGGGATGGTATGTATTCATTGTACAGATTTTACTCTGATGGGAATCATGTTGGGGGAAGAGCTACCTTCAAAACAAGTACAATTAATTGAATCATCTGCCAAGAGTTAGTTTTTTTTTCCCTTTCAGTTCATGTTGGGATTTAAAAAAGGTAATTCAGCACCTTTCATTCCAAATTAGTTCTCCCAAATAAACAAAGCATCCACAATTTTCACCATTCACATTCTTTCCAAATTATTTTGAATGATCTGAATGAATTAATCAAAGAAGTGAATCAATCAATCAAGAAACAATGATCAAAACAAAAACAAAATCTCATTGTGTGGTTTATGGTTAGCATTTCAGATAGAGCTGCTTATCTCAAACCAGCAGCCTGCAGTGCACCTCAGGATGAAAGTGGGTCGGGTCGACCCGGAAGTGACCCGTGACCCGTCGGGTGTTGGGGCGGGTTCGGGTCGGCTTTATGTAAAAAAAAATTATCTGACCCAACCCGAGTGTGACCCGCTTGATTACTGGGTCGGGTTTGGGCAGCAAGTTTTGATCTCGGGTCGGCCTGAAAACCCGACTACCGACCCGTTTAAGGGAAGTCAGGGACTCTGGTGACCTCTGGTCCGTGGGTCGCCAACCAACTTCAGGATCCTCGCGAGTTGCCGCTTGGAAATCTTTCTTTGATTGGTCATCAATACAAGACTACGACTCATGAACGATCTTCAAAGGACACTTAGCCTTTGATCGCATCCTCGTAGGCTTGTAGGCTTGTATGCCATCGGCATCCCATTGACCTCAGGAATCAGGATCGTGCAATTGAATAAAATAAAATACACATTAAGTTACAAAAATTGTTCTTTTTCTATATCTATAGCTTAGACATGTAAATATGCTCTAAAAACCTGTTCCAAGCCTGACCCGGAAAGTGACCCGCAACCCGACCCAACCCAACCCTGACCCGCCTGCTCCCCTAGGTGGGTCGGGTTCGGGCAGCAACATTGACTGTATGACCCGACCCAACCCAACCCAACACTTTTGCCGGGTCGGGTCTGGGCACTGTTTTTCGACCCGAACCCGACCCGGTTTCATCCTGAAGTGCACCATATGTGGCCTGCTACAAAGCTTACTGATGGTTCAACACACTTGCTTGCTACAAGCACAACCTGACAATAACCACGCTGCATTAAACAAACAAGACAATGTTGTTAGCAAAACATCCATCCAAATGCTCAATCTTGAACCCCACTAATATAATCGAGGACTTCCTGTCACCATTTAGAGTGCTTTTTAAGCCCTCCCCAGTCCTAAATTAACACCTCAATCATAATTACAACCAGCTCATATGAGAGCTATCTTCACAAAACTAATTGTGAAAAAATAATTTGGTATACCAAAAATTAAGATCTAGGCCTGGGTGTAAATCAAATTCTGGGAGGGTTGTAAACCACAACAGGAAGTCATCCAATCTCAGATCATTTTATTTTCTTTTTGGATGATCTATCTTTTTTTTCACTCAAATTCTCTTGTTTGTAGTTTATTATTATTATTATTATTCTATAATTCAGAAACTTTGATTGTGAGCATTAAAAACAAAACAAAACCACCTGTTGGGTGACACAGACCCTGGAGCAATGTGCTATAATTTTCTAGGAGGTTCTTCACAGGAGTGATACCCAAATCCTTTGTTTGGCATGGGATTCTCTCTGCAAGTAGCAAAGTCAGCAAGTAGGGTGATGTAGCTATGATGTAAGCTGGACCTTTCGATGCTCAGAAACAATTGTTTGATTCTTCATGGTCAAGCTGGTTTGTCCGTAGATGGGGTTCACAAACAGCCCATTAGCTCGAATCGGGTTGGATAAGCTTGGCTAATGACCGATTGTTGTTGAAGGTGACATGCAGTTCTCTCAATACTGAGAGCAGAAAGATCTATTCAAAAGAGAATCCGATGATAGATCTTCTTTGTGGAGAACATTCTCTTTCTTTCTTTGTTGTTTTGGTCATTGTGAATTTGATGATCGAGTGATCTGAACGCCGACACCAGCAGCACAACTGACCGCCTCAGGTTTCTCGACTGTTACGGTGACTCTTTCGATCGATTTCGGGGTTGAGGGTGGGTGACTTCCTTGGAAATTCAACACATGTTTTGCAATTGAATTTGCTAATGCTTCGACGGTATGGAATTCACTTTCGATAATGTTCTAGATTGTTTTTTTTTTGTCCATATAGCAGAGAATCAGTGAGGATGGTTCTTGTCTCCAAGAGACAAAGAGAACAAGAGAGAGAGAGAGAGATATTTTTTTTTCTTACTTGATAGACTGATCGGGTTAGGCTCTGGATGTCAAGTGGAGAGGATTGCTGGTTCCATAGAACCAAGCTGATGAGCATCGTTTGTTTTTGAGTGCGTTCGTGGGGCAAGATGCCGATGATTGAGTAAGTTTTGATTTCGTCGATGTGAATCCTGGTCAGATCAGGGAAGGTGGTAGATCTGGAGAGTGAGAGCCGGTTGGCAAGACTGATGAGGCTAGGGAATTCGATGGTGAGTTCGTAGTCGACTCTTGGAGGATGAGGAGAGGGGGAGATTAGTCTGGCCCCATTGAGGGCTTGTTGCTCTTCGATATCCCGTAGGATGCTGAGTTGGAGTTCGTCGAGTAGATGGTGGACTGATGGAAAGGGGAGTTCGTGACTGAGTCTGCTGATGATTCTTTTGGAGAGGTCGAAGTAGGAGAGCGTGTCTGAGCACAGTCGGTCATGCTTGATCGAGCCCGAGAAGCCATCCCAAGGGATCACCCTCAGATGGAGTAGGGCTGGCTGGTGTTCTTGCTCTGAGGATTTCTGATCGCCAATCCTCGGGATCACCGAGAGTGATCGGATGATGACTGAGTCTCGCTCGACCGGGCCGAAGGGAGTGAGACTGGCCGGCGACATGTTGATGGTTGAAGGATGATCGGTGGCTTGAAGCGGATTGACCATGGGTGGTATGATGGATGGGCTGTGACAGGTCTGATGTCTGTGACAGGTCTGAGGGCTGTCACAGAAATATTTAAGACCACACTCCAACATCAAGCATCCCACCAACAACAACAACAACAACTACCAACTACCAACTACCAACTTTTAATCCAGGATGACCCAACTACAAACAGCAAACTCAAGCAAACAAGAACAACAACAACAACATCAGAACAACCAACCAGCCGACCTAAGCTCAATCTATCGATCCCTACAACAAGAACTGCTGACCAACAAACAAGTTGTAGAAGAAAACATACCCAACCCACTCAGCCTCATCGCACTCATCACTCACACCATCCTACGATCTCACTCATTCACCATCAAAAACTCATCCGACAACCAGCTCCAATCCATCCTCATCCTCAACAACCAAACTCATTCATCCCTCCTCAGCTACTCCCACCCCCGTAGCAGCCTCTCCTTCGAATTTACACTCTCCAAAATCGGAAATCGAATCTCGATCGCTGGGATTGCGGTCGAGGTACATATAAAACTCCCTCTTCGTATCTATAGTAATAGTATATACATCCAAACTAACACCACTTCTTTGTTTCTTTCTTTCTTATTTCTTAGGATGACAGATTATCCACCTTGGATCTCTCGATTTCAGAATATCTCGACCCGGCCGAGTTCCCACTCACGTTAACCAAGGAGCACCAAACCAGCTCGATCGGACTGAGATCGACAACCCATCTGCTCGACTTCCTCTCCCTCTTCGTCAACAAGATCCTCAACCATTTACTGCCCGATCTCATCCCACCCACCAGCCCCAACCACCGTCCACCTCCTCCCGCCTCATCATCCACCAGCACCTCTCAACCATCTCAACCCGCCCCAGAACGCTTCGAGTCACCCCAGATGAATCTCCAGTCTTCGCACCATCGATCTCCGCTGGAGATAGGCCGCTCAGACCTCGACCCGATCGGCACATCAAACCTGCACATCCCCTCGCTCTATAACGCCCCATCTGGGGGAGAAGGCTTGCTGGGCGGTCACTCGGGCATGCTCGTCGGCGGGAACCATCCGATCTTCAACCGACAACACCAGGCCCCAGGAAGGATCGGCGGAGGAGGCGGCCTTCCCGGAGCTTCCTTGCCCCCTGGAGCTGTCCCCCCCGGGGCTCGGTTCGACCCATTTGGCCCCGCCTTCCCTGCCACTCAACCCGGATTCGGCCCTGACTTCGATCCCATGGGCGGGCTCGGGCAGGGATTACCGCTACAAAACCCTCATCATGGGTTCTCTTCTGCTCGCCCAGATTTCAATAATTGTTTGTCTTTCTTTCTTATCCTACTCAAATGGAATACAAATCCTCACGCTTTCTGTTTTGTTCCTCTGTTTTTTAGTTCGACCTTCTGGTGGACAAGGAGGGTCCGGTTATGATGACATGTTCATGTGATCCTTCCATCTCATTCTTTACAGTCAACCCTCATCTTCATCCTCCGCTTTTCTTCTGTAAACTTTACCAACAGCTCAGTCAGATTATCCTGCCCCCCCCCCAAAAAAAAATGCTTTTACACTTAGCAATCCCATTCACATTCCATCACACTCATACATGTATATGTATTTTGGTATCCCAGTTTACAATTAATCATTTATAGCTTGATATGTTTGTATTCATTAGCTACTCACTATTTTTATCATCCCCTACCAGAAAAAAAAAACATATATATGTGGATGGTTAGATGTATAATGCTACTCCATTCCTAGAGCCACAACTTTGGTGAAAGCTATAGTCTAAAAAAAACAAGACAATGGAAGTTGTTGCTGGGAGTGGGATTTAGCAAGCCCAGGAAGGCGCGAATTGAGGGCGGACCATCATGAGATGATGAGCTTTGACAGGGATGCCATGCAAAGTGTCACAGGAGCTTTGGTCAGGTTAACTCTTCCTCTCTTAGTTGTGGAAGTAAGTGGAAGAGATTTGGAGTGAGTGCATTGAAGAATGGAGTGGTCAGTAATTCATATGTATGTCTGACTGGTATGCACAGCTTGATTTATGTTCTCTTGTTGACCTTGCTTTTTTGTGGTGGGTATGCACATATTTAACTTCAATGGATTATGCCAAGACCAATTTTCTATTGGCTTGACATAGCTTGCTAGTTGTCACTTGGCTGCATCTTCAATCATTTAGCTCTCTCTCTCTCTCTCTTGATCAGCACTGCACAACATATTTGCAGTTGACCAATCAAAACCACATACCCAACCAGACACAAACAAACAAACTAAAAACCAAAACACACTCTACATTGTTATGTAACATACACACATACACACAAACACTTTTTTTTTGTTTCTTTCATTGACTCTGTTCATCTTTCTTCTTTTCCCCACAAACTTGTCTCCTTTTTTTTTTGATAACAGTAAGAAGAAAAAAAAAGACAAAGAGAAAAGAGAAAAAAAAAAAAAAACCAAGCCACACAGACACACAAAAAAAGGAGTCAAAAAAAGGAAAAGGAAAAGCTGCTCCAAGAATCTTCAAACATGAATGATGATTGATTAATATATATATATATCTACATTGTCTAAGAGAGTGTTGCAAGTAAATACACGAGTAAATAGATGCAAATATGAAAAGAGGAGACCAAGCTATGTGGAGTGGACTGGACAAGAATGAGAAGCCGCAGTTGATGATGAAGATGAGTGAGAGAAAGAGAAAGAGAGGAAAGAGTCGTATGAGTATGTTAATATCTACACCTCATGCCATTATCACATGTGTCAAAAAAAAAAAAAGAAAAAAAAAGTGAGGGGACAAAAACAAAACCATTCTTCTTTTCTTTCACTCCTCCTCCAAAAAAAAACACAAACACAAAAAAACTCAAGAAGAAAAAAAAAGAATCTGAATACATCAACAAAAAAAGGGGGGAGGGGGAGAGAAACAGGGCACATATACTGCATTTGGATGACAATGAACCACATGAGACAATAGGAAAGGAAGCCAGTCACACAAGAGGGAAAGAGAGACAAAGAGGGAAAAAATGATGAGGAGGGAAAAAAAAGAATAAGAATATGATGATTATTTGTAATCTGTAACATTGATCTAAGGACATGGAGAGAGAGAGAAATATGAGATAAGAAGACTGAAAAGGAGAACAAGTGGTGATGATGAGAGATAACAAGTGGAGATCACAAGGAAAGTTCTGGAGCAACCTCTTGATGTCAATTGACACAGGATGAGAGCAGATTACATTCCAATGCGACGCTGATTACCGGCGTTCAACAAGCTCATGAGGTCGAGTTGGGAATGATGGATCGAGCTCGGCTGTCCATTATTACCACTCTGTTGCTGCTGTTGCTGCTGCTGTTGTTGTTGTTGAGGAGGAGGGGGAGGTTGCAAGTTAGCAAGAGGATGCTGGAAGTGTTGTTGGACATTGCCGGCCAAGCCATTAGGGTTCGAGTTCAACGACGGGTGGGGTTGAACTTGCTGGGGGATGATGGTGGTGCCGGTTTGATTGTTGATGATGGGAATGACTCCAAAGCCGTTGACGTTACCGTAGCCAGCACCTGTGAACGCACGGTTAGCCGGGCCACCGATGAACGGGAACGAGAGGTTAGGGTTCGCGGGATGAGTAGGGAAGGTGCCAGCTGCTAGAGCTTGTTGGCGTTGGAGTTGTTGAAGCTGTTGCTGCTGTTGTAGTTGGAGCTGCTGTTGATGATTCATGGGGTGGTGTTGAAGGCCAGGGAGGATCTGCGGGGCTTGGTGGCCAAAGCCTGCCGGACCGGGCCGTCCGTTCCCAATCGCGTTTTGGGCCCCAGTCGGTGAGCCAGTAAAGTTCACCGAAGGGGGAAGAATACCCGGATGATGCGCTGGTACCTGTTGGTGATGAAGGAAGAGGTTGTTCAGTGCCGAGTGAGGTGCATTAGCAGAAGGTAGTTGGATCATTCCATTCGACCCTGCGGCGGAGTTCAAGTGTTGTAAACCATGAGAAGTACCATTCACCGTCGAAGTCGGACCCGCAATCGGTACACCTACAGCGAAGAAAGGATTTGTGCTGGTAAGCTTGGATTGCATCATGTCTAGTTAAGCTTAAAGAGCTGAAAGCCTACGTTGATACTCAAGCCCATTTTGCTGTTGCTGTTGCTGCTGTTGCTGCTGTGAGTGCGGTCAAGAGAAGGATTGAAAGAGGAGTGTGTTGGCGGTCAAGATCAGTTTCATGGATTGCTAGATGCACATCATACACAAAAGAGGCTTACTTCAAATTGGCTCATACCTTGCCAGTTGGTATAGCGAATTTGTAAGCACGCGCGGGGAGATGCAAGGTTGAGAGACATAAATGCATTTGAATGGTTAGCGCTACTGGTTGGGTTGATGATAAAATTGGAAGGCATACGTTGCTGATGAAGCTGGCGGGACAAAAAGGCCAGTTTTTGATTATCAGTGCTACGATCGTGGGCGAGCTGCTGGGCAGGAATGTTGCCCAAGTTATTTGAGTTGACCGAGTGGAGCATATGACGAAGTTGGAACATCTGCGGGTCATGAACTGCTTGATTGCGGACCCCGCCAAAGCTAGCGTCAATTGGTGATTTTACGTGGGGAGGGTGATTCGTCGCAAAGAGGCTGAATGGTTGATTGACAGCACTGCCAATAGATTGGGAGCCGTGTGGGCTACTGCCAGGGTTGCCATTCTGCGATCCAAACGCATGACTAGCGCCCGATTGAGATGCAGATAGATGGCTGAAATGGTCAGCTGACGAGTGGCTTGATAGGTCGTCCAAACCTCCCATTTGGTGGGCAGGCGAAGATCGCTGAGGAGAATCTCCGGCAAAGGTAGAAAAGGGGGTTGAAGAAGCTGGAAGGGTGTGATGGGAGAGGTGATTGAGAGTGTGGTCATCGGCTGTTTGGATTCGATCACCAAGCTCGGCTTCATGGTGAGATCGTACACCGGGGGCATGGATGGTTGTTGGAGAAGTGGATGAGGCCCCATGCAGTTGAGCAAATCCCATGGGGTCACGGTTGTAGTGAGTCGGCTGTCCATTGGAGGGCAACAATTTATTGAGAAGCTGGAAAGACGATGAATGAGATTGGGGATCCTGTGTGCTGTCAGAAGCGGGCTCTGAAGGCTGATGCGGGGAGAGCATACAATCAAATCAGTTTGTATTAAGAGGATGGCAGCGGCCAAGGAACAGCTGTAGGATATCTGAAATCTCACTTTTGAGCTCATTTGAAGCATACTCAAAACACGGGCCATATTCTCGGGATCTGCACTTGGACTACCGGCACTTTTTGGGGGACTACCCTTCTCAGAATCGTTCTTGTATGCGGAGCCAGTTTGCTGCCCACCATCCTTGTGGTGATCAAAAAACTTCGCAAATCGACTGGCTCGAGGAAGAACGGCAAGGTCGTTCTCAATGGCAGGATGGGAGTTTGTGCCAACGTTTTCATTAGGGCTCGATGAGGTTCCTATGACTGCAAAATCAAATTGCTTTGAGGAATTCGATTGCAGGTCACGATCCGGCTTCGGTGGTACTTCGACATGAGGATCTGGTGTCGATCTGTTTGCTACACGCTCTTCTACCTTGACAGGAGATGGGAGAGGGGTAGAAGAATCGTCTCGGGACTCAGCAGCTGATAGTGAAGCGGCAGCAGCCAATTTCTTTTGCGCTTCGAGTGCCTTCATTTCGGCTTTCCAGGTCTGAATAGCATCAGTCTCGCTGGTTCCGTATCCACTATCATTTCGAAGACCGTTGGATGGCTTTGAGATCTCCCATTTGCCCTCTCCCGAGTCCCAAGCACCATCCTTGACACGTCTAGTAGTATGGGAAGTTAGAGGCACATTGGGGGAAATTGGTGGAGTATCTCTAGAAGCCGTTGCATGTGATGCTGATGAGTGGATCTGATTGGATGGTGAGTGAGATGCGGTGTTTTCCTTTTCCTTTTCTCGAGCTCGTTGCTGGTTATTGTTTCGGTTTGAAGCATTAGAGGTCTGAGCATACTTGTTGTTGATCGTCTTTTCTCGCTCCTTCTCACGAACAGAGTGGTCACGCGTATCCGGGGTATCTTTATTGGCTCGGGCGACATTGGTGGTTTGGTGATAAGATGTGGATCGCTTGGTGCTGCTGTTATTGGCTGGTGGACCGCCAGTCGTGCCAGGGGGAGGCCTTCTCCAATTCATCTGTTCATCACCGGTTGGCCCGTCTCGAGGGTTGAGACTGGATCGACGAGTCTTGTCTCGCTCGAGATCCCTCTCACGCTCTCGTTCTCGATTACGTAATCGGGCATCATCCCGATCACGATCAGGAACATACCTGTCCAGGGTTCGACGGTTGCTGTTGTTGGTGTTGTTGTTGTTCAGCTTACCATCCGATGATCCTTGGTCATCGGGTATTCTTTGATTGCCTGATCGCTCTTTACCAGTTCCGACGGAATTCTCGTTTGGCTTCCTCCTATTACCGTCAACGTTCAAGTTATCTGTCCTGGCTATGTGAGGGGCGCCATCGCGATCCATCAGCCTACGAGCACCCTTGAAGGAGTTATTGAGAGGGCTGCTTGATCCGTTGAGATGTAAGCTACTAAAGGAGTTGGACGGGGAGGACTCTTCTGTTCCGAATTTCCCAAAGTTGGCGAACGGATTCCTGGCAGGTGGTTGGCTCCTTCCGAGGACGGGCAGACTAGCTACGGACTGGGAGAGTGCTTGAGATTTGTTTTCGGGAGAAGATCGTTGATTAGGAGGTTGATTGGCATTTGGGGTAGCATGGTTGGGTTGAGACCTGGCGGAGGCAAAGTCGCAATCACTAGCCAAAAGAAAGAAAGGAAGGAAGAAGGATCAATCAGTAGATGATCGATTGGGCAGATTGAGGGGGAATGAAGATAGGAATGGAGCCTACCCAAACCATTCGCTGAGAGGCTTGAGCGCAGGGGGCCTGACGCAGAGGGGACTGTTGTGCAAGGCGAGTAGTTGAGCTCTGGAGTAGAAGATCGGTTGCTTGGGTTCGGAGGAAGCAGCGACAGGGGTTGATGGAGTGCTTGAGGCGGAGTTGGAGGAGGGTGAAGCTGATGAAGGGTTCTGGGCCATTTTGAGTGAGGCGTAAGCTCTGGCAGCGGAGAGGAGAGCTATTTAGGTGGTTGAGAAACAAGTTGGTGGGTATATCAGCGCTGAGGAATCGGTTCGGATCAGGTGAGTTTTGTGGCTGGGGTTGTGTGTGTGTTGTTTGTTGGTGGCAGTGCTACTCGGTGACTGATGGTTACAGTCTAGTCTGTGTGTTTTGGGGATGACGTGTATCAATCTGATGCTGTACTGACCTGCGTCTGCTGAGGCTACCGACATGAGACGATGGAGTGACACAGGAGAGCCAGCGAGACTACGGTTTTCAGGCAGCAAGCTGATGAGGATGATGAGGATGAGGATGAGGTTGTGGATGGTTTTAGGCTGAGACTGGCTCGGAAAGAGAAGGAGATCGAAGATGACCGCTGCATGGGCGGCTTGCTATTTCTGGAGCAGTTGACCATCACCAAAAAAAAAAAAAAAAAGAGGGCCCGATCCATCTGTGACAGGTTAATTATCACCTCTTCCTTGGCTACCAGTATAAATCAACAGCTTCCCGTTATCAGTCCAAGCAATCATCTCAGCACCCACCACTTATGGCAGCTAGTAACAACACATCTGGATAGCCATGGTCACCACCACCCACTGCTAGATTTCTCAACAAGAAAACGGTTTTGAAAAAAAAAAGTAAAAATGTATTTGAATAATTCTCCAACAATAATCACCTGTTCACAGACTGTCTAGCCAGTGTCAAAGATAGTCAAAGTGTCTCATACAATTGAGAAGATGTTGGCCCATGATCAGTCACTGATTTACTGTGGGAGGTGAGAGAGGGATGTCAAGTTTTTGATTACCAAAGAAAAATGAAGAGAACAGATTATTTCTTGGTCCCAGTTGGTGGTGAACAAGCTACACCAGACTAGCAAGCTCAGATAGATTAAGCTACTCCCAGGCTCCAACTGCATTGGTGGTGGCCAAGATTAGGGGGGGGGGGGGTTGCAATAGCACTTCCCATGCAAATGTGGTGGCATCCATCAGAGTTTTCTAGGCTCCTGCAGTGTGGTGTGGCAGAGGCTGTGCGCTCAATTTTAGCAGGCAAAGAGCTGCATCCAGTAGGCAAGAAATGTAGCACATAAGAAAATATATGACAGGGATGGGAAGCAAGAAAGACTATTGTGAACCCCTCCAAAAACTTAAAACCCCCAGAGGGGTTGGTAGTTGATGGCCCAAACCTTCTTGGGGATGGCAGTCAGCTCCTGTCTACAAGCTGCAACTGCTGGAAGGAAACCTCCTGGCCACTGAAGTGGAAAGACACTCTCAATGGTGCAGAGGAAACCTCTTGGTTTTTGAGAGTGTACACTCTCAATGGTGCAGAGGAAACCTCTTGGTTATTGAGTGTTGTTAAGCTCAAAAGTGTTCCTGGGAACCTTTTGCTGAGTTTGGAAAGGGATGTGTGAGGAAACCTCTGCCTTGCCTGTGTACTTCACTAAACAAGACCACCAATCTTAGATTGGCAGCTTTTAATTAGTGATAGTGGAAGATACACTGTTGTTTAATAGGTGGACAGGTGCTAAAAATGGGCTGTTTGTTATGTGTAAAGATGTTGTGATATTGTATGTAAGGGTTGTTATAATTGTAAAACCAAAATATTGGGGAACAAATAATATTATGGAGTGAGCAGTGATTTGCCTGTTATGTGGGGAAAGGAATGCAGGCACTTCAAAAGGGGTTGTATTGGTTACAACCCCCCGCGATAAGGTTGCCCGGAAGCGACCAATATAAGATTGGTCTGATTGACCGATTTTATAATGGTCGGGCCCACTGATACATTAGAACAAAGGAAAAATGTATCGGTGGGCCTGGCCAATATAAAATCGGTCAAGGAGACCGATGTTATATAGGTCGCCTCGGGGCGACGTTATTGCGGGGGGTTGTAACCAATACAACCCCTTTCGCCATGAGGAAGTGCGGTTGAGAGGGTATACTCTCAAAGGCAGAGATAAACTATTGAGAGTTCAAGAGGTTTCCTCTCTACCATTGAGAGTGCTCAGTTTACTCTCAGTGGCTGGGAGGTTTCCTCTAGAGATGGTCGCGGGGTATCTGTTGCGGATACCCGCTATCCCCTGGCGGATACCCGCCAGCGCCAGCGGATACCCGCCAGGGGATACGGATTGGGGTTTGGATGTGCCCTTTTCCCAGAAATTTGGGCGGGTATCCGGGTATCCCAAAGGATACCCAAGGCCAGAAGGGGGGATGTCCGGCTGGAAGGATATCCTTCCAGCCGGCGAGGTACATGTACCTTGTCGGCCGGAAGAAACCCCTTCCGGTCAGCAAGGTACATGTACCTCGTCAACTGGAAGGATTCCCTTCCAGCCGGTCCCTTGCCGGCCGTTTCAAGGGCGGGTATCCAAGGATACCCGCTGCGGCCGACGGATACCCGCCAGCGGGTGCGGGTGCGGATGCGGATGCCTAGATGGCCGGAAAAAGCAGCCGGATATCCGCATCCGCGCGGATATCCGGATGCGAATCACCCATCTCTAGTTTCCTCCTAGCCAGCAAGGCTTGTAGCAGGATCCAACTGCCATCCCCTTGAAGGTTTTGGCAAAACCACAACATACATCATGGGCCTTGGAAAAACGACTCCCAAGGATTGGTCAACAACTCCCAAATATGGTTGTTGGACGTTGCTTGGGAGTTGTTTTTCCAAATGGATGGCTGACTTTGGGAGCCGGCCATCCATCGATGTTATATTTTTCTCTTGAATTTTTGAGAGTCGGCTCCCAAAACCACCCCTCATGCTTGAGGGGATTTGGGATTTGCTCCCACATGACCGGAAGGAAATCCTTCTGGTCAATGAATGGGTCGCCTCTCTGGTAACTACAATGAGTAAGGTAACAAGAAAATATAAGAGTATGGACTCTTAAGGAAAGGTGTGGCTTTGGAGATTTCTTGAGGATGGTATGTCTAATATGTCTTATGTTTACTAGTCTAAATATAATTGTTCACAAATCAAGTTATCCCAAATCTTGATGGGCATATACCTGGCTAATAATGGGTGATCAGTTATCTGGATTGCTGGGGAAGGCTCTGATGAGGAAAAAATGAAGAAGAAAAACAAAGCTCCTTAGATACAAAATTCTGGGGAGTGGCCAGCTTGTGGTTAGAAGATAAATGGAACATTCTGTGAAGAGTATGAAACAAGGAAAAAATATTTAACCATGGAAACAGGGGAAACAAGCAGTGGGAAAATGCTCCCAAGGTTACTAGTATGAAACAACCAAGGGTTGGAATATTCCATGGAAGGAAATAGGAGGAGATAACAGTTTCATGGGCAGGGGGATTGTTACTAGTGTGGGACACAAGAGGGAGGAAGAATGGAATTGTTTGGAGGGGAGTAAGTTTCAGGGGTGTGGAGTTTCTGTTGGGATGGAAGGGGGAAATTCAATTATCCAGGTGGATTGTGCTTGGATGAAATCATGATTGGTTTGAGGGTCTGGGGAACTTTCTGGGGTGTCTTGATGCTGTGATTCCTCTGTGATTTGTACTCTTGCTGTGCTTGGAATTTCAGGATTGGCTTACCACAGAGTGCTCCACTATTCAAATGAAATTGTCTTTGGATCTCGCTATCCAATACCAAACGGTAAAGCCCGCCAGCAAACTCTTCTCCACAATTTGTGATGCCTACAAAAAGAACACCCAAGCTAGATTCCTCCAGCTACAGGATGCTTTCTGGATGGCTCAACATGATCCAAGCCAACCAATTGCAAAGTGGATCGCTCGGCTTTGAATGGAGGCCTTGGATCTGGGAAGTGTAAAACTTACTCCCTCCGATCAGCAAATTTGTGATTGACGGGGCTTGATAGCCACACGCCCTCCCCCCTCACACACGCACACCCACATGACAATTTTTTTGGTGTGTGGGGGCACACCCCATGCGGATCCTGTTGTGTCCCTGCACATGCCAGGGATCCACAGGGTCCAAACCCTGTTGGCTGGCGTGTGCAGGAACATGCCAGTGGACCTTGCCGGCCATGATCAGGAGAGAATCCTCCTGGCCGACAAGGTGGTACAGCCTTGCCGGCCAGGAGGATTCCCTCCTGGTATGGGTTTAGGACCTGCACGCCAATCTACGCCAATCAACCTTGCTGCAGATTGGCATGCACTTATCAACCCCTGTGATCAACTCATCTGTCTCCTAGACGACTTGTGGAAAACGATCAGAGATCACTTGGCATACTCGCCAAACAAGATCTCCCTTGATGAAGCTGTTGGTGCGCTTGAATCTCACGAGATCTTGAAAAACATCCCACTCGACCACTCAGATCAACTACAGTCAGCCTCCACCACAGTGAAAGGAAAAGGCCGACCACAATGCTACACCTGTGGAGAAAAAGGCCATCATTTGGCCGAATGCCCAAAGAAGAAAAAATTCAAGTCCTCTTTGAAATCCGGCGAGGCTCAAGCGGGTGCCACATCAGTGCCTCATTTAGGAAACTATGATTTGAATGAGGACAAAGACGATAGCTTTGACAAGGAAATTGATGTCTGGGGATGAGAGGACTGGAAGTCAACGTAATTTTTTATTCGTGGGGCGCACAACTCCGGTGCAAACCTATGGTAAATTTCTATTGTCAGTTTGTTGTTGAGTACAGTAGCTGTCGTGGCCTCTCCCTACTCCCTATCTACATAGAATCTCTGGCCTGGTTACTATTTTTTTTCTGTCCCCATCAAGAGATTTTTTTTCTACTGGAAGCTCCTAACAGTAATTTTTTTTATCTCTAATTTTTTTACAATATTTGTTTTGTTCTCAGCAAGGGGGTGTGTTGGATATGCTTATATAGACTAGTCTGTATGCTTCTACTAAAACTCAGTTTGTATATAGTCTATGCTATCTCTGATCCAGACCACTCTCCTTACTGAATCTAAACATTATTTTATCTTTGTGTCCAGTCACTGTCACAAGACCTAACGTCTGTGACTCTTAGTTCCTCTTTTAGCCTGGTCCACCTCAACATTCTAGCTCAGTGATTCACTGATATAACTGGAAGAAGTTATCCAAAAGATTGTCCAGCTCATCCTCAGTGATCCGCACAATACAACTAGAAGTAGAGATCCTTGAAGTAGATCCAAGACATACTTCATGCAGGAACAGAAATACTTAGAATTATTGCAAGGTAATCTCTTATTGGATTTCTGGGGGACATAGAAATAAAAGAGCTCAAATCTTATATAGTATGTACAATGCATAATACTTCATAAGCATAAAGTGATGAATTAAAAAAAAAGATAATGCATATTAGCTAGTAACTGGAACAGTAGTTGGTGACAGGTAGTGTGAAAGGTACTTGCAGGCTGACATCTCTCTACAATTTCATCACACAGAAATGGGCTAACCATTTGACGGTTGATTACCACTTTTTATTCCTGCCTGTCAAGGTTGGTATATGGAGAAAGGTCAGTGAATTAGCTGTAGCTACTCCTCAGAAAAATATTCTGCGGTCAAACATGCATCACATAATGGTAATTGAATGAGGTGCTTGTCTGAGACTGTGTTGGACATGAATTTTACTTACACCTTGTGTTTCTCACACAATTTGGTATGGCAAAACATTCATCACAAATCAAGTATTGGATCAGAAACTTGTAGGTAATGAAGAGCCATGCAAGTATCAATCACTTTGTGGTTATCAAACAAAATTGAACAACCTTTGGGTAATTTTGACATCTATATGAGGAGTCAGAACAACACAACAATATCACATTCCAACTTTGTCCCATACCAAGAAATTTCTTCCTCAAATTTTCATTCCTGTGGTGATGATCTATATAACTATCAAGGCAATACCATTTTCTCTATCCCAGCCAATCATACAACCAGGATAAATTACAGACATTGATCCATTGGTTGGTCAAGCCATACAACCAGTATACCTTGGAAATCACATTACAAGATTGCAAGGTGGAGGTAAGCTTGCAAGCAATATTCACCATGGATATTCTTCAATTTCAAATTGGATACCACTTAATTGAATCACCTGATTAGCCATTCTTGAAACCAGTGCATCACACCACAATCCAGAAGAGATACTCAAAATAAATCATGATTTTTTTTGGATAGCTCACTATCATCCTCCTTAGAACAAGGAAGTATGGACCACTGCAATGAATTGGAAATATTCAAGAAGACTGGTATCCAAAGTGAGAAAATTGTGTACTATTTTATTATCAGCATCAATCAATTTTTTGTATCCAAAATCAAGGCTCAATTTTTTGCAAGTAAAACCTTAATAGGGAAAGGTGCACTGGATCAGGAAAAATGCCTCTACAAAACAGGAGATTCACCTATGCCAAAAGGAAAATTAACATCTCAAACTTCACTTTTACCACTTCCATCTAAAGATTCAGGGGAATCAGGTCCTTCATCTTTAAAAAGTCTGGACATTTCCTCCAATCTGGCCCTTCTGAGCTCTTTTGGTAACTTTCAAGCAGAGAACACAAATTTCCCACCAGAATTAAATCATGAGATCTTCAAATCTATACCATGTGGTTTGAATCCTTGGATAACCAAAATCTCTTACTTGGACTGTCTTCACAAAAATCTTAAATTCCATTTTTCCAATCTTGAAGAAATTCAAACCATTCTTGAACTGGGAAAAATGGCTAGACATGAACACATTCAACTCAATGGTAAATCAAAAGAAAAATTATTCATCTTGTTTTCTGAAATGGAATTTGATCTATTTGATCATCAAATTCTGGCTCAAATATTCCTCATTCCAATTCCAACCCAACAAAAGATCACTTGAGTATGGATTTCAGCTAGAGATCGTTTGTCCGTACTTTTTGCAGGTACCTGGTACCTCGTGGGGGGTACCCCTCGCACCCGCCCCGCACTTGCCAGGAGGTGCCAGGTGCGGTACTTGGTACCTATTTTTGTGAAAAATTGAACAGGTACCTAGGTACCTCTACAGGTACCCCCTCACTTCCCTACCAAAAATCAAAATGATGGTGGGTACCTTGGCTGCATGGAAACAGGGACTCAAGGATAACAAGAAGTCTAACAAAAAATCAAAAAGGAAGGTGATGGTTTTGGATGACACTGAAGATTCTTCCAATTAGTTATAAGTTGTAAACAGTTTAAACTTTGCAATAAATTATTAAATATGAACAAATGAAAAAAGTGACTTGGGACAGATGTTTTACAATAAATATGAAAAAATAGAAAAGTAAGATTCTTCCAATTAGATGTAGATATATTACAACAGATATTAAAAAATGCCAAAAAAGTGACTTGTGAGTGATATTTTACAATAAATATGAAAAAAAATAATAAAAAGTGACTTGGGACTCTGGGAGTGAAACTAGGTGAAAAAGAGAGGGGGGGTACCTGAGGTACCTGAAACAGGTACCTTGGGTACCCCCCGGGAGGTGTCTGGTGCGGTACATGGTATCTATCTTCTTGAAAAAATGAACAGGTACCTAGGTATAAACAGGTACCTAGGTCCGAACAAACGATCTCTAATTTCAGCCATGGAAATCCACAATTTCTGAAGTATTTGGTTCCAGAAGCAGAACCTCATATTGAGTTAGGATAGGTTGCTGAGAATGATGCAATTCAAAATAAAGGTAATACAAAAAAATATTAAAATTTCTTCCTGACATGTTCTCAAAATAGGTTATATTGATAGCAATTCCCATGTAGATTCTCAATTTATTGCAAATACCTCAGGTGTGGGGTATTTCCAAGAACATCCAGTTACTTAATTCTTATGATACTTTAGGAAAGGAATCCCTTCCTGAATCAGAAAATCTATTTAAGAGCATTCACATTGGTTGGGTTAAATTGCCGGGTTAAGGTGAGTTAACCCTACCAAGCCTGTTTGCGCACTCGCATTGATTCGAGGTTAACAGCAGGTTAGTTAACCAAAAGTTTGATTTCAGGTTTGCGGTCGCTAAATTTAGTGATTGCTAACCAGAAATTTAGCTATTTTGCGGGGAGTTGTCCTCCAGGGGTTTGTTAACCCGGACGGATGCGTTTGACAACAGTAGGCTAGCAAACCCGGACCTCCCACCCAGGTTTCCTAACCTAAAACTTAACCAGACCAATGCGAATGCTCTAAGGGTAATCACATTCAAAATCAACATAAGTGAAATTTTCTTTATCCATTTTCCTTCTGCATAGAATATGATGAAATCATATGTGGGATCCAGGTCTCAAGGTCATTGCTTCTTATCCAGGAATAGATGAGATATATACATACCTTATTTCAACATTAGCAGAGGATGAGACTGATCCAAATGAAAAGGAATCTTCACATGCAAAATCAGATCACTTATATCAGTCTCCCAAACTAGGTCAATTTAAAATCCCAAAAATCAAAATACCGGAATCAATGAAACCTAGAAGGTTCCTGGTGAGGTCCAGTGAAAGTTCAACAGAAAAACTTGTCAAGAATCTTATTGGGCTTGAAAAACACCATCATACAAAAGGAAAGATGAAAATAAATGGTCTTCCAGTATTCATGCATAAGCCTAAATCCAGATTGGAATACAAATATAGAATAAGGGTTCAATTGAATTCAGGAAATAGTAAATATACAACACACATACCTGCAATGTTGAATTTTCTAATAACCCATTTGACCATATGCCATAAAGTACTCATTTTGATCCAGATATCCAATGGTATGAATCTGGTTCCCAATGCAATTAATGATTTCAATGAATGGTTTCAGAATGTTCTGATAAGTCCAGGTGATGGAAGCTTACCAATCTTTGGAGATGTGCCTAAGAATAGTGAAATCTTTTTGCACTCTGAATTTGGTCCAATTCAAATCTACCTAATAGAATTATAACTCAGTGATCTTGATTCAAACAAAGAAGTCATAAAGGTAGGACTTGTTTTACTCTCTTATTGGTATCAAACCTTTCATTTGAATTCTTTTTTTCAAAAAGAAGAAGATTACTGGAAATTTATGATTGGATCCTTACTACCCAAGCTGACAATCAAAGGCAGATACTCTTTGCAAAATTTTGATGACAATGGAGACTTTGATCCTAAAAAAACCCAAATCCCTAATTTTAAACCAACCTCAAAAAAGAGGTTTTTATCTCCTGTTTAGCATGCCTTGCTAATTTTTTTCTCATCTTGGGATCCAATGTTCAATCATACATATTTGCTATACAATACATTTCACATTCATTAAATTTGGTTTGATTTATCTTATCATTTTTAACCTGAGTTTTGCCAATTTCGTTACAACTTTTGGGAGTCATTTTTCCAAGTCCCTTATAAGGTATTTAAATAATGTAGGGCCGGGGATTTTCTCTTTCCCTGATTCTCTTTACATAACTTTCTGTGCACCTTGTTCTTCCTTTTGTCCTTCTCAAGTACAGTGGGTGCACTGGACTGTTATTTTTGGCTGCTTGTTTTGGATTCCACAGCTTCAAAGCACCAGATTGAAGTCATGGAAATTGGTCAAGTCTTGCAGAATAGGTCCCAGAAAATGAATATGAAAAAATAGACATAAAAAACAAAGTTTCAAAATTTGTGAAAAATTAAAAATATTTTTTTTTTTTTTCTTCCAAAAGCTTGGATATTCATTTTTGGGGAGTGGGAGTGCTGAGAGAAACAAAGAGTGGAACATGACAAGAATGATTATAAATGAAAAAATTGGAACCAAAGAAAGGTGAGCCAGGTTGGCTGTCCAGATTGGAGTCAAAACAGTAAATTCTAGTGCTTTGCCACAACATGTGCTGGTGAATGTGCCACTCAAGTACAGTTGCTTGAAACCATCTGGTGACTATTTTCTTACAAAATTTTCATTTATAATCATTCTTCCCATGTTTCTTTCTTTCCCCCAGCACTCACACACCCCCAAAATGAATATCCAAGCTTTTGGAAAAAAAAAACAATTTTATTTTTTATGTTTCACAAATTTTGAAACTTGGTTTTTTATTCTTATTTTTTCATATTCATTTTCTGGGACCTATTCTGCACGACTTGACCATGTTCCATGACTTGACCAAGTTCCATGACTTCAATCTGGTGCTTTGAAGCTCTGGAATCCAGCCAAAAATGACAGTCCACCCACTGTACATATCAATATTAACTGATCAATAAATACATCTCTGATGACTTGTATAGTACCATAGTTCGGAATATGAAATCAACAGCACTTTGTATGGGGTCCCTGTCATGGGTGGTTGCTAGTGGTTGCAACTTGATACTTCAGTGGGGTTGTGCAGTCTCCAATGCGATCGTTATCGAAGGAGGAAACGAGACTATGTTATAATAGGGTTGCTCTTGGAAACCTGTGGCGGGCTCCATACTTCTCCACAACGTTAGACAGAAACAACGTCACCGTTGCTCGGGAATCGGGATGTCGAAGAGGCAGAGGCTCGCTTCCTTGGAAGTTGGATGCACGCCAGGGTCCCGGCTCCGCCGGACGAGCTCCGCTGGAGTATGATATCCAGAACACCATCGCTGTAACAGCTTTGATTTGAAACCCTCCTGGATTCGCCTTAACTCTCTCTTTCCTTGATCTCTCTGTCAACCGTCGATCTTATACTCGACCAATGCTGTTGCACGACACTCACTCCGAGATACTTTCTTAAGAAGGGTGTGTTCCGTCCAAGTGGCACATATGTAAGATTGTGACTCTTCAGATGATGACTATGCCAATGACGTATTCCCAACAGCCCATGTCTCCTTCGTGTTGGTAGTCTTTCTTTAAAACCGACTTCGGCTTTCCAGCTTTCTACACTTTCTCGACCTCGTTTAGATCGTTGCTTCAAACTCAACATATATTTATACAATACCAAACTCTTCGACTCGAGGGTGTTGTCGATGGTTAACAACTTCACATCCTTGCTATCCTTGAGAGTTACATCGAGACACACTCCCATACGCTGTACATAAATAAATAAGCTGACCTTCAAAAACTCAGCCGCCCGCACATGCTCTCGGTAGCTTAGACAAATAACTATTACTATTTTGCTTCACCCAATTCATCTTGTTTTGCTTTCGACCTCGCAACTCTCTCTGCACAAGCACCATATTCTCCTCTCTTTCAAGCCCAGCAAAATACAATCTCCCTCGCTTTGTTTACGTCAAGATTTTCAGTTCTTCTATCACCCTTCAACCCGAGCTGGTTGGTGTTTTATCATTCTTCTTGGACCTTGCATATAACCGAAATGAACCCAGATATAATAGAGCTGACATAGGTCTTCCATATGATAAACTTTTATAATTTATTTGACCAACAGCAAGAAGTATGTCCGCTGGAATCGTCTGCCCGGCTGCAGTATCAATTCGAACCAATGAAGCTCTAAGGGAAAATTTCAATTATCACGATTCTCTTGGTTCTCCTAAGTTTAAACGGTAGGTCCTATCTTAGTCAAACAACGTGATAGGGCTTGGCAAATATAGTGCAATGGCTGATCTGTTGAAATTACAACTGACAATAGGAACGAATCGCATATGGAGAAGAAAGCTATTATTGTCCGACGACCCTTCAAGTATGTTAAACACCAAGGGCCCCGTCCGGTTGGTGCTGCTTCCATTTCGACGTTCAAGTTTCACGATGCCAGGTGTGATGCCAAGGGATTGGACAGCGTTCGAGCGCTTTCAATAAGACGTGCCCCGAATGCGGCCTCTCACGAGCGATCTTCCGCCCACGGCTCGAAGTTTGGAAGACAACAGACTGGTGTCGATGATTCGGCACACGGCAGCCGGAAAAACGAACGTCCCTATGAACCGCCGGTCTCGCGTCTACTCAGCTCACGGAAGCTGAACCTTTCGGCCCTGGACATTTCGGCTTGCCAGAAGAAGAAGACCCCTCAGGTAGAAGTCTTCCGGGATGAGCTCACCAATCTGCCGTTTCACACCGACTCGAACCTGGCCCAGTCGCCAGGGACGGCTCGTCTCTGGGAGTGGTTTTCCCAAGGTCGAACCTCCTGCTTCTCTGACTGGTCCAACTCCGCCCCCGCCTCTAGTCGACGCTCTCTCACCATCTGCGAAACGCCCACACAGCTCTACCTCCCTAAGTCATCCAAAGAAATCGCCCAAAAGAAAAGGATTTCAAGCGACCCTCGACTCCCCCTCTCCCTCACATGTGATTCAAAGGCTTTCCACAACACTCGAAGTAGAAGTGATTTCGGGCTCACAACTTACAGCTAACTCTGGAGGAGATTGCCGCACCCATGATCCCCTACCTGATAACTTCCCCGCAATTTCCATCTCTCGATCTGCAAAAGATTCCCCATTTGTGTTATGTTGACTGGCAGGATAAACACGTCGTTTATTTTATCCTCTTTCCACTAAGAGTACTCTTGGTGTACATTTAGTCTTTCTATTTGTTTTTGCTTTGCTTTGCTTTTAATCTATAATGTTTTGGAATATGTGATCAATTGTTTTTGAGGATAAATTCTTCTCACTTTCTTTTTCCTATATTCATCAAATTCTCCAGGGAATATAGCTGCATACACAAAGGAGTGGTTCTTGAACTTGCCTCTTGGGGCTCACTCTGGTGGGACAGTTTCCCATCTAACACCAGCTAGGGTGTAGAAAGAACTTGTAGCACACAATCCATGTAATCAATGTTATATTCTTTTGGTCAGTTTTGGTCCCACTGTGAGAGGTTCCCATTGGATGTGAAGAAGATTGTGTAAATAGCATGCACCCTGCAAGCTTTCACATGTGCAAAACAGATGCATTGTTTTCCTCAGCTGAATTTTTTCAAAGCCAGTCCAAGGAAGATACCATGCAAACTGTACACATATACCTCCTTATTATTAAAATTGAATAAAGGACTAGGTGACCGTGTGCACAGTGGGTGCACTGCTATTTTTGGCTGCTTGTTTTGGATTCCAGAGCTTCAAAGCACAAGCTTGAAGTCACAAGACTTGGTCAAGAACAAGCTGGTGTCCAATCCAGCTTGTTGGGAGCAATTCCTCCTGGCAAGCTGGTGTAAAACCCAGTTTATTGGGAGTGATTCCTTCTGACAAGCTGGTGTAAAACCCAGCTTGTTGGGAGCGATTCCTCCTGGCAATCTGGGTCATACACCAGCTTAATCCCTCCCAACAAGCTGGTTCATTTTCAGACACTGAGACAATAGTCCATGTGTCTACAACGTAAAGATATAAGTAATAGTGACCTAGGGTAATGGTTAACACCACGGACAATTGGGTGTTGCTCCTGCACGGAGCAACATCTGGGGGTTTCAATGGGGATTTGTGTGCAATGACTGCACATACTGCCACAGTCACACACTCAGATTTGTCCAGATGTTGCTTACATAAGCAGCAACAATCAAATGACCGTGGTGTAAGAATTGTCTTAAGACAATATCTCACCAACACACCTCTGTTCACTTCCCCCCCTAAGCTCTTCTGTATTTTTATTCATTTGTTTTCCATATTTTTTTCTCTAAGTAATTCTGTGGAATAACTTAGTATTTCCCACTGTATTAAATAAAAAACCAAGTTTCAAAATTTGTGAAAAATAAAAAATCAAATTGTTTTTTTTTCAAAAGCTTTGATATTCATTTTAGGGGAGTGGGAGTGCTGAGAGAAAGAAAGAGTGGAACATGGCAAGAATGATTATAAATGAAAAAAATGGAAACTAAAAAGGTTGAGCCAAGTTAATGGTTGTTCAGATAGGAGTCAAAACAGTAAATTCAAGTGAATTGCCACAATGTGTCCTGGTAAATGTCCCACTCAACAGTTGTTTGAAACCATCTAGTAACCATTTTTTCCAAAAGAATTTCTATAATCATTCTTCCCAGTTTACATTCTTTCTTTCCCTCAGCACTCACACTTCCCCAAAAATTAACATCAAAGCTTTTACAAAAAATCAATTTAATTTTTTATTTTTCACAAAATTTGAAACTTTGTCTTTTTTTTTCATATTCATTTTTTGTGACCTATTCTGCACCACTTGCCCAAGTCTCATGACTTCAATCTGGTGCTTTGAAGCTCTGGGATCCAAAACAATCAGCCAAAAATAATGGTCCACCCACTGTACATTCAATCACATCATCTGTCTGTACAGTGGGCAGTTACTTTATCAGTTCCTCTTTTTAATTTGGTATTTAACTTTAAATTAGGCACAAAATAAATGAACTGATGGGTTGTCCAAAAACAAATGGGGTTTACTCTTGAACTTGGTCAAAAAGATTCACATTTTGATCCAGTCAGTTAATTTTAATCATTGACGTTGTGACCAATTTTCAGTTACAATAACTTGTCAGTAAAGTGACTGATTTCTTGTGTTGCTTCTGTAAATATGTGGATGAAGTACAAGTCTGAAAATTTGAAATTTTTGAGGGGTATTGCCAAGCCAAGTTCAGTTTCTCTTATCCAGCTGATAAATCAGATTACCCATTTTCCTTCTGAATGGTACACAGAGAAGCAAAATGTAACTGGAAAACTTAAAAGTAACTACCCACCGTGATAGCAAAATTACTTCTCAAAAATCTTGCTTTCTGAGGCTCCTTGAAAGTGCAAAAGATACAAATCCCAGCCATCTTTGTGTGCCTTTTTGTTGTGTATTTAACCCTGTATGCCAGCTGCACCAACTCAGGGGAAATGTCATAACCTTCCCATTTTTGGACTGAGGAGTTTGGGAGTTGGATCATGGAAATCCTCTCATTTTTTGAGTCTTCCCTTTTGGTCCCATGGGAGCTCTGCTGACTACATAACACCTCACAGCCAGAAGGTATCCAGGGACTTTCCCACAGAACCACAGCCTAAACAGTCATGTGTGCAGGTTGCAAGGCATTAAATTTCTGTGGCTAAATTTTTGTGTTTTTCTCCATTTCTAAGGAGAAAGCAAGCTTTCTGGGAGCTGCTTTGACTGGTGAGCAGCAGGTTACCATGTCATTGGTGAATGTATAAGCTATGCGAATCGCTGTTACAAGACCTTACTGCGTGTTAGGATATTGCAACAGTTTAGCTTGAGATAAGACCAAGCAGTTTTTATTGATGTGAATGGGTACATGACGCTTCACGGTCAAGATAAAAAGGAGAGGCTTGATAGCGCTTCAGAGAAATCTCCTATTATCTTAACTATTCGAAGCCACTTTTTCTCTGTGGAACGAGCCGATTGGTTTTTGGATTGGATACCGGAAGATGAAGTTGAAGGCCTATCGGTTGGCCGGTTAGAAAACTTGGCGCGCCAGCTGGGAAAGCAACGTGATTGGTTTTGGTGTTGCGCGGCTGAAGATGACGATGAAGCCTCGTCGGCTTGGTTGACGGGGGCTGGGGATGGAAGCTCATCTGCCACACTACCGGGGGCAAGCGCATCAGGATTTGCTTGAACGCCGGGCGCCAATCGATTCTCTTTTTCTGCTTCTTCTCCATTAGCTAGCTGTTTCTGGTTTCCTTCTTCTTTTTCCTCGGCTTTAGCAAGTATGTTCTTGATTGCTTGGTGGAGCACTTCGGCAACTTCCAAATCGATCGGTGTATAAGTGGCTTCCGCGCGATCCAAACTTGCCCAAGCGTTGGGGTGCTGGTAGGTTTTATCAGCCACGATATACGAACGGGTCTCTTGGTTAGCGTTCTGTTGGGCAGTATTCATGAGGAGCTTAGCAGCTTCAGGTCCACATTCCGCCTTTTGCAAGGCTGAGTACAACTCCTTTGGCTCCAAGTCCCTTGAAATAACCGTCCCATGACGAGGTTCTATGGCTGAAAGTTCAAGCCTAATACTATGATTTTCAGGGGTTAACCTCAAGAAATTCACGCCAAGGGTTCTTTGCACGATGAGGCACACCAGTGCAATGTTCAAGAATCTGGAACACATCCTAACCTGTCATGAAGGTAAGTTTCTTGTGGATTGAAGATTCAGAAGCAATGTGTCCTCACTCGTTGTAATAGATAAAGCTGTTTGGAAGCTCGATAGGGAACGAAAACTATACACAATCCTAGTGGATCGAGTCAGCTCCAGCGTTGAAGCCTACGATGCCCAAGAAAGCGCGGTCAGATACTTATGATTATCTGGAAGCTGTTACTTAATCTGTTCAAGATGGTGAAGAGACTTTCAAGTGCCACTCCTCAGAGGAGAGCTTCAAACGTTGGTTTCACCACCTGATGCTGAACAACTAATCCATCCCGTGATCACCGGTGCCCGTGATGCACTATCTGCATCTTAATGAAACTCGCCAGGACTCCCACTCTTCTGGTTATCATAGCATGTATCATTACGATTCCTATTCTTCCCTATCCCCTTTCGATATCGGTGTCTTGAAACCTAAGTACTTGTGCAGCAATGAGTTCAGAAGGTCCGTCTCCGCTTCAGAGCCATCACGGCATTTCTATCGTACACTACTACCCTCGGTGGTCTTAAGACAAAGAGAAGCCTTGGAACTTGTCTGGTCACGAGGAACCCGCTGCTTGTTTTCAGGGTTACAAAGAGCCAAGAACACAAAATCGATCAGTTTCACCATAGCTGTGGTAATGTATATAAGCAAGGCTCATTGGTACATAGTGGTCACAAGTTCTCCAAACGAAACTGGTTTGTACAGTGCAAGAGAAAATTTACTCAATTGCCACCAGTCGATGTGCAGATACACTGGAGGAAGCTTCTGTTCTTACTCAAATCTTACACAACAGTTAATTCAACCTGGCTTTACTAGGTGGGTTCGTAATTGAGCTTTAGAGCCCTTTATAAGGTGTTTCTGATCAGAAAAATTCATTTTTTGGGTTGTTCAGAAACCAGTCAATCAGAATAAGTGAAAAGAGTTATATGATGTTGCTCACAAAGACCTTAAAAATGACTCTAAAGTTCAATTGTGAACCTACCTACAGCCATTGGGCACCTTGTGCACAGTTGCTGTAGAAATTACTTTAGAATAATGCAGTATCCTGCATGGCAACCAGCAGTGGATCAATGTGCTTATTTAAACAAAATCCTCTTCCCAACCAGTCATGTCAGTTTTCTCACAATCACATGATTGCTCTTTTTTAATGTTTGATCAAGGATTCATGTCATCAATATTCTTAGTATTACAGGGAAAGGATATTATAAGGGGGTATCACAATCATGTTTATTGCTTCTTGTGCGGCTTATAAATCTTGCTTGGCTTAAATTTTGGGGCTTGGAAAAACGACTCCCAAATTTTAGTTGCCGACTCCCAAATACGGTCGTCCAACGTCAAATGGGAGTCGTTTTTCCAAATGGATGGCCGACTTTGGGAGTCGGCCATCCAATGATGTTTTATTTTTTTAAATATTTTTTTTTGCAGTTTTGGGAGTCGGATCCCCAGAGCGCGCCTCATGCTTGAGGGGATTCGGGAGTCGCTC